CAGGAATTAAGCAACCAACACCCAAGCCTGGACTCTGCTGCAGAAAAGGGGCAGCTCTGCTCCAAGAACAACAGCTGGTTGTTACCCTCCATGGGGCTGTAGGCATGGTGTGTTTTCTCACTGCTCTCTAAGGCCCACTAATGGGGTAACTCGCCTCTGCTGGAGGAGCAGCAGGGTGTAGCAGAAGCAGAGCAGCAGCAGGGCTTTGGGGGATCAGCTGCACAAGCAGCACCAGGCTGCACTGGACAGCAGAGCTGCTGTAGGGTTGGCAGGAGCTGGGCAGCATGGCCAAAGTGCTGGGACACCATGCTGACCCCACTCAGCACTCACGGCAATCCTCTGGCTCATCCGAACGGTCTCCGCAGTCATCCTCGGTGTCGCATTTCCACCAGAAAGGGATGCACTTGTCATTCTTGCATACAAACTATGACAGAGAGATGACCTTGTGAGGACAGCTCAAAATGGGGAACCCCAGAAGGCTTCATCCCAGGAGAACTCTGCCAAGGGCACTGATCTCAATGCTGTCCGTTCCCAGACACCTCAGGACAGTCTGTGTCCTGATCTGGAGCAAATCCTTAAACCTGAGCCAATCCCACAAAACCTCTGGTGCTGGAGTGGGACAGGCAGGAGCTCATTCCAGAGCTGGAGTGTCTCTGGCTCCCCAAACGACTGCAATCTATATGTGTTGGGAAGTGCCACAGGAGGGGGGTGTTGCCCATGCCTGGTGAGTGCACACCAGCACCCAGTTGCACAGCAAGGAGCTGTGGCCTGGTGAAACCAGCCGGGAGGGACACAAACATGAGCACTCATGTCTGAGCAGGCAGGCACAGGCAGAGCCAAGCAGGCTGTTACCTGGCTGGCCGTGCAGTTGGAGACACAGGTTTTGCCATCACCGCCCAAGTAGAAGTTGGTGGGACAAGCACACTTGTGCCCTCCACCTGGTGAGAGGAGGCAGAGGTTGCTGCAGCCAGCGTTGTCGGTCTTGCAGGGATGGTTGGGAACTGTGGAGAGCAGGGAGACAACCACGAGTCAGACCAAGGGGAAGGACCCTTAGGGTGGCACTGAACCCCCAGCTGCAAGACCCTTCTCACCATGCAGCACCTTCCCAACCTGGTGTCCCTTAGCACATTGTGCCTAGCCCCAGCCTACTCACTCCAGCCCTCTGGCCCAGGGCTCACCGTCAGGCTGCCGGTAGGGGTGGTAGATGTGGATGTCCATGGGACGGTGCAGCGTGCTGATCAGCAGTGTCTTGTTGGCTCCTGTAGTCTTGTGGGCCCGGTTGATAGACTTGGTCTCCCAGTCAGTCCAGTAAATGAAATCCTCAAAGAGGGTGAGCGCGAAGATGTGTGGGATGTCCTGGCTCAGCACTGCAAGGGGGAGCAGGCAGCTCAGCCAGGGGATGCCCCATGCCACCCCTCCGACAGCCCAACCTTTCTCCAGGGACATCTCAGCCTTTCTCCAGGTCAGAGGCACAGGAGCTGCCAGTGCTGGAGACTGTACCCAGCATCTCTGAATCCTGCTCCCACAACCAATCCAAAGCCTGCACCCCACACAGGCCTGGCAGAGCTGCGGTGCCCTCACCTGTGTGCCGGTTGGAGCCGTCCAGGCTGGCAAACTCGATGTAGTCCTCCCGCGCATCGGCCCAATAGATCCGGCTGTTGATGTAGTCGAGGGTGAGGCCATTGGGCCAAGTTATCTTGGTGTCAACAATAACGCTGCGGTTGGTGCCATCCATGCCAATCTTCCCGATCAGGGAGTGGTCCCCCCAGTCTGTCCAGTATAGGTAACTGGGGATAAAAGAGAAGAGCAGAGGGAGGCTGAGTCTGGCCCAAGCCACAGCAGTGGCCACACTCTGCCCGCCCCACGGATGAACCAAGGTGCAGGTGGGTGCAGGGCAGGGAAGGCCCTGTCCCACCTCCCAGCCTCCAGGACTAGGGCACAATGGCAGAGGGTCCACCAGCCCCTCCCTGCACGCCAGGGTCCTGCAGGCGCTCACCCATTCTGCACATCCACCACCAGTGCCCGGGGCTCCCGCAGACCGGAGTTCACCAGCACGGTGCGGTAGGCACCGTTGAGCTTCGACACCTCAATGGTGTCCCGACCTTTGTCACACCAGTATAGGTTCCCTCCTACCCAGTCAACAGCCAGCCCATCAGGGTTGCTAAGGCCAGTGCGGTGAAGAACCTGTTGGGAGAAAATGGAGATGTTGGGGCTAGAAAGGGAGAACTAGATCCTGCCCTGGTCCCTGAGGGATGAAAACATCCCCCTTCCACAGCACATTCCCCCATTAGACAGTCCTTCCCAGTACTCTTTCCTCACTCTTTTTCTCCAACCCTCCTTGCTCATCTGCCTTGGGGCAGCATGGAGCCCACCTCTGATTGGGACAGTGCTGCCAAACATTCCCACAGCAGCCTGGGCTGATGCCCTGAGCCTAGTGACGACCCAAAAGCAGGGCTTGTGGCCCTGGTGCCAGCCAAAGCCCCTCTCTGTGCAGGCAGTGGGCAAGAACTGGCTATCCAGATTTGGGGTGCCTGATGGGCTGCCTCAGTGCCCCACCTGAACATTACTCCCATTGATGTGCATTCGCCGGATCATGCTGCCCTGCGTGGTCACATCTGTCCAGTAGATCATCTGCTCCCGATAGTCGAAATCCAGAGCCACTGCATTGTTCAGCCCCTGGGAGGAAGGGAGAAGCATTGAAATCACAGTGTCGTCTGCTAGCACAGGGTCACAGGGGCTTTACAAAGACCAGTGACCGCCAGCCTCAACTCCAGTCCCTGCAGCAGAGAACTTAAAAGCACTACAGACAACTGTTGAGCAGACTCTATTTTATCAAGGTCTGCTACCAAAGAGCTATTGTTTACAAGGGACCTCCTCAGTGGTGAGAGCTGCTGTTATATAGAATCTACCATCTGTCTGGAAAGCCAAGAGCCCAAACTCCAGGGCCAGCAGGCCTCCTGCTCTGCAGGGCCACTCTCCAACTCCCAACCTCCAGCCCAAATCCCCACATAAGGTTGGTGCTCCTCCAGCTCCAAGCTCCCCCCGCACCTGCTTAAGCAGTGTATAGTTGGAGCCATCCAGGTTGAGTTTCCTCAGGTAGTACCGGTTGGCAAAGATGAGGAAGGGCTCTTCATCTGCACAGGGAAACCATGAGATGTGTAAGGGAAACACTACTGTGACATTGGCAGATCCCCTGCGGACTCAATTCCCTCCCTGCCCTGCCACTTCCCAGATTTCCTTCATGAGTCAGGTGCAGCTACTTTGCCATTTGGAGCGCTGTGACCAATTCAAACACCAGCAGCATTCCAGGGTTGCCAGAAGAGCATCCCTGCCTCCAAAGCTCTCACCTGTGACAGCTTTACAGCTGGTGGGGTTGTCAGGTTTGAGCTTGTAGCCCTCTATGCACAGGCACTTGAAGCTCCCCAGAGTGTTGATGCACTTCTGGCTGCAGGGGTAGGTGGTGGAGCACTCGTCAATGTCAATGCACGTCTTCCCATCATCCTTTAGCCGGAATCCGGGACGGCATCTACACTGCAGGAGGCAACTGGAGCTGTTAAACATGTCCAGGGCCCGCACGCTGGGACATGACAGGCATCACCATGGGACAAGCAGGCTCAGGCACAGCAGACAGCTTGCAGAAACAAGGCTGCTGTAAGTGCCTATGCATGTGTCCCCTGCCCAGCTGGCAGAGAGCAGAAGCAACCCTCATGCTAAGAGTGTCTGCAGATAGGGGAGAGAGCAAGAGAGCATCTCTCCAGCCGACCCTACCTTGTATCCAATCTTGAGGTCTTCACATTCCTGGGAACAGCCGCTCTGCTTCTTGTTGAGACACTCGTTGATGAAGCAGTTGAGCTCATCAGAGCCATCCATGCAGTCGTTGTTGTTGTCGCAGAGCAGCATCTCCGGGATGCACTTCCCGTTCTTGCAGAGGAAGAAGGAGTCGTTGCACTTGTTCTCTGCAGCAGGTGGAGAGGAGGTGGCCACGGTCACTACAGGGCAGGTAGGCAGCCCTGCTCCCCACCATGGCCCCACAGGTACCTGGGCTGCTGCAGCGTGGGTTCTTGGGCGCTTCGTCCGAGTGGTCGTGGCAGTCAAACTCGCCGTCACACTCCCACTGCCTGTTGCTGAGGCAACGGCCGTTGGCACAGCGGAACTCATGGGGGCCACAGGTGGGGTACTCTGCAGGAGGGCAGGGGACTCAGGCAGTGCAGACCACCTCCCTGAGCTGGCCAGGAACCACGGGGGCAGTGTGGTCGCTGGGCTGCGCAAGGCTGTGGCACAGGTGCCCAGACCTCCCTGCTCCTCCTCACCCTGCTCTCATGCCAAAACCCTTCTGGATAATAAAGACCCCTCCAGGGTCCTGTCTCAACGCCCAGGAGTCACAGTGTAACTGCCAGGGCAAGTGTTACATTAGACAGCTCTCACTGTTCTCTCCCATCCCTTGGACACCCACCACACTCTGGGGACTCGTCTGAGCCATCGCCGCAGTCGTCATCGTGGTCACAGACAAAGTGCTTGGGGATGCACTGGCGGTTTCCACACATGAACTCCCGCTCGTCACACGTGTTGTTGTACACTGCAACGAGGCAACACTGTCAGCCCCTCACCACACCCTGTGCTCTCCTGCCTGCCCCACACCCTTTGGGTGCTAGGGACAGGAGCTGAGGCACAGCCCAGCTGGGGCAGGGACTACAAGTCCTTCACCCCAGCTTGAGCACAGGCCTGTGTCCTCATGCCGTGGCTGTGAGCAGCACCCAGACAACATGGTGCCTTTGGCTATTGCTCCTCCTCTCTTCAGCCAGAGAAAGGCACCCAAACATTCCCATGTCCAAGGTCTGCTGTGAGCACAGCACTGCAGTTTCCTCTTGCAAGCCTGGCGGGGAAGTGGCCAAGACAAGACATCCTGCCTGCTACAGGGACCCCAGTAGGGCCCCCCGGCAGCTCTGCCTTCACTACAGGCAGCTTCTCTCCAGCCCCTGGCTATGCCACGGTCCCAGCCCTCTGGGACTCACAGCAGCCAGCAGCGAGGGTCTCATCAGCGCCGTCTGCACAGTCCTTGTCCCCATCACAGAGCCAGCGCTCTGGGACACACACGTAGGTGCCTGGGCACTGGAAGGATCCCGTGCTGCAGGTGGTCAGCCCTGGGGAATGGAGAAGGATGGAGGCCAGTCACCCCCTTGCTGAAGAACTAGCACTCTTGGGCTGCATGCCCCCATGTTCTGGGAGGCCCCAAGATACAAAACCCAGGAGAGCAGTGAAGACCACAGCACAGGAAAACATGGGTGGAAGAAGGGATGGGCAGAGGCAAGAATACACAGAGATGGAGCAGAAGTGGAGGCAGAGAAAGAGAGAGGTTAGAGCAGGGCTGGAGCAGACTCACGGCAGCGGCTGTCCTCATCAGAGCCATCCCCACAGTCATCTGCCCCATCACAGACCCAGAGCTTGGAGATGCAGCGGTGGTTGTTGCACTCAAACTGCACGGGGTAGCAGAACTTGTCTGGGAGAGGAGGGGAGAGGAGGGGTCAGACCTGGGGTGATGCAAGGGGAAGGTCATGGCAGCAGAGGCTGGGTCAGCTGGGCTCCAGGGCTGGAGAGTGCCATGGAGGCATGTTGATGGGACCAGACCATAGGACTGGTGTGGGATTTCCTGCTCTGGAGCTGGAGAGGTTGTCTAGTTCCTGAGCACTGTTTGAGATTTTTTGATGGGAAGTTAGAATAAAAAATATTAAATCAAATGAACTGTAACTGGCCAACCTCAAAATTATCAAGGACACTTGTGCATGTGGTGAGCAAACAAACGCACAAGAACTTCTGCATTGGCTGCCATTAAAAGCCCAATCTTGTGGAATAAGACTAGAGGAGAAATAATCTGGAGTGTGATTCTTGGCAAAGGGATGTCAGAGAGAGGAGGGGGTCCAGCCTCTCCTCCCGCACACTTGCACTTGCCAACCCGTGCCATCACCCGAGTCCCTTGCTCTCCCCACCCTGCCGCTCACTGCAGTGAGTCTCGTCTTCCCCATTCTCGCAGTCGTCCTCTTTGTCGCAGGTCCAAGTCATGGGGATGCACCTCCCACTTGGGCAGGCGAAGTAATTGGCTGGACACTTGGGTTTCCTCCCACCTGGTTTGTGAAGGAAATATCAGAAAGGGTGGTAAGATGGACACGTCCTGTTCCCTCCCAACCCAGATCTGCCCAATTCTGAAGGATTCCTCCCTAAAAGCCCTCTGTGATCCTGCATCAATCAGCACCCAGAACCACCCTCCATAAAGGAGCTGTGCAGGCAAGGGATGATAGTCCTGGTGTGAAAACAAAGTATCCACTGTCCAAACAGACCCAAAGGGGAGCCATCTGCCAAAGGGTCAGTGCGACACCCCTGCTCTCCTAAGCCTGAGTCCCCTCTCCTCTCCTTGCTCTCACCTGGGCAGTTACGTTCATCTGAATAGTCTCCACAGTCATTGGCCCCATCGCACACCCAGCTTGGAGCGTAGCACAGTGAGGTGTGTTCACACTTCTGGAACGTGGTGCCCTTCACTCCCAGCTTGAAATAGCTGCTGCAGTCAGTGGCAGCTGCAAGGAACCCCACCAGAAGCCTGGGTGACGGGTGCTGCTCACCAGTGGCACAGCCTTTCAGTCCAGACCCCCAGGCAGTGTGAGCCCCTGTCCCACGGCTGACAGCCCTCCTTCCTCCCCAGAGCAGCACGGAGCTGACTCTGCCCCACGTATGCCCAAGCTGCTGGGACCACGTTAAGCACTTCTGATGGGCTCTTGTGTGGTGAGGTGCCAAGAACGGTGGAGGTGGAGTTGCAGTGATGGGCTGAGACTGCTTCCAGCCAGCAGGCTAACCAGGCCTCGCCTCTGTGGATGGGATGGGAGCCAGGGCCTTTCTCCCTCCCTGATTCAGCACAAGCCTCAGCAACTGAAATGAGGTGCAGGGACCCAGGCACCTGTCCACAGGCACAGAGAGCAGGAGCATTGCCAGATCTACAGCAGGGCAGGGCAAGGGAGGCAGTAGTGAACAGGACAGCAGCTGGGGTACTCACTGCAGTTCATTTCATCTGAAGCATCCTCACAATCAATGAACTGGTTACAGCGGCTCGAATTCCCAATGCAGCTTCCATCTCGGCAGCGGAACTCGGTAGCAGCACAGCTGGTTTCTGCAAGGGGGAAGGCCCCACAGTGGATGAGGCTGGGCTGAGGGGCACAGTGTGTAAAGCCACCCCACAGACCCCACTCACATTGTCCACATGCATCCACGCACATACACCTGCTGCCCAGCACAGCGATGGGTGACCTGATCCCACACTGCCAGCTCTGGTCCCCTCCCAGCCAAGACCTGGTGCCTCTCTAGCTTACATACCCTCCCTGGCAGCCAAGGCTTGTCCCCAGAGCTGGCCTGTCACTGGCAGGCCTGGGCAGGCTCAGGGAAGCTCCTGACCTTCTCTATCAGTTTTGAACCCAGCAGACAGGCTCCTGCAGCTCTGAAGCTGTCCTTGGAGATGCTCAGGTGCTCTTTTCACAGGATCCCAGGAACCATGAGGAGCAGCAACACTGCCCCTTGATATGGCCATGTGTTCCTCCTAGATGTCAAACCATCTCAGAAGGCTCTAGGTGCTACATGGCCATGCTCAGTTCTTCCTCCCAGCTGTCAGGGAGCAAGCTGTACAAAGCGCCTGTGGCACAAGCAGCATGAGCAAGATGTAGACCTTCACTCTCCGCTAAGCCCTGGCTCTGTTCTGCTCCTGTCAAGCTGAAGGTAACTCTCCCAAAGCCCCTGTCCCCGTTCCAGACAGCTGACTGAGCCCTGGTGAGGGCTGGCTGGGAGCCAGACACTTTGCTTACTGTTACACGGCACTTCATCCGAGTTGTCCCCGCAGTCATCCACGCCATTGCACCAGTAGCGGCTGGCAACGCAGCGCCCGTTCATGCAGTGCAGGTAACCCCTCTTGCACTTGCGGCTGCCTGCAAGGAGGAGGAGCAGGTGAGCACGAGGCACCCCTGGGTGTCCTAGCTCCTCGGGGACCCTTTGGCAGAGGCAGAAACTACACAGGCAGGATCAGGAACCAGGCTCTCTTGTGATGTACCGGCAACATTGCAAGGTTAAGGTTGGCCCAGCAGACCCCTCCCAGCTGAGAAGCAAGGGTTGCTGTTAGATAAAAGGTGCAGTCGGCTCAAGGGCTCTCACTCTCCAGCCTCCCCACAAAACTGGAAAAGATCTAGAGCCCTTAAAGCCTGGCATGGATGGGACCAAGACAGACTATGAGCACTTGAGGGACACAAAAAGGCACCCAAGAGTACCAGCTCCCTTTGCCAAGCAGAGCCAACAACTCGAGCAGAGTGCCTGGGCATGCCAGTGGATGCATGTGTGCGTTTGAGCAAAGCAGCAAGAGGAGGAACCTTACTGCAGTAGGACTGCTTCTCATCTGACTTGTCCTTGCAGTGGACTACACCGTCACAGGTCCGGCTGAAGTCAATGCAGTCACCGTTCCCACACTCAAACTCATCATGCACGTTGCAGGTAGAATTCAGGGCTGGGCAGGGTGCAAGGAATGTCAGCTCTGTCAGGCTGAGACTTCCTCCCCTTCCCATCCCCACCAGCTCCCACTTCCACCTCCCCTCCACCTTTGCAGGTGAAATCCTCCTGCAGGACTCGCTCGCCACGGCAGGAGCAGTTGACATGTCCTTTGGGTGTGAGCAGACAGAGATCCTGGCAGCCACCATTGTTGACCCTGCACGGGGACAGCTCACCTAGGAGAGATGGAGAGCAGTCACACCAGGGGCAGTCTACAGTCTGGCCGAGGCAGGGGAGCCAGGGCCAATGTGGCAAGGCTGTGAGTGACAGGTGGGGCACGGGGCATCCTTACAGCTGTCAGTGTCGTTGGCCACAGCAATGATGCCCATGGGCTGCTGGGGGATGTCAACACGCAGAAGCTTCATGTCAGTGCCCACATACTTGTTGGCTCGTTGCACAGCTCTGCGCACCCAGTCTGTCCAGAAGATGTAATCACCGTAGACAGCCAGGCCAAAGGGGTGCACAGGCTCCGATTTCAAGATCACCTGCCGGACATGGGCAAACCATGAGCAGGAGGGAACCTGGCTGTAGCCTGGATGCAGCCCCCAGCACCTCTCCAAATGCAGCCTGTCCCATGTATCTGCCCAGGGAAAGGCCCAATCCCCCCCATGCCCCAGGAACAGATCTACTTTCCTCCAATACTCGCTACTCTCCTCCCCCATCTCTGCCACTGAGGGCAGGTCTGGACTCACGTGGCGGTGGGAGCCATCGTATTCACAGCGTTCAATTTTGTCCAATGAGGCATCAGAGAAGTAGATTTTTTCAGCCTTGTGGTCAATGGCCAGCCCATTGGGTGTCCGGATGTCCTGGTCAATGATGATGAGGACGTTGGCACCGGAGAGGGTGGCACGCATGATGCTGGGGTGCTGCTCATTCCAGTTGGTCCAGAACATCAGGCTGAAAGAGGAGAGACAAGTGATGCCTTTGCAGCCCAGCTCTCTGCCATATATATGTTGATTTAGCCCATCTCTCTACTGCTGTAAGGCTTCCAGGGCCTCTAGGATGGAAGGGACATTGTTCCTGCATAAAAAGGAGTGGGAGGGGACTGAATGACGCCACTGCAGCCAGCTGGGAAATGTGGTACCCCATGGTACCAGAGGAGCATTGGGATGGGGTTTCTGACTTTGCTTTGGGGTGCTGAAGGACATGGGGAGGACACAGGGCCTTTCCCCCATGGACCCAAATACTCCCTGTGCTGGGAAAGAGCGCTTTCTCCCTAGTGGAAATGTGTCTGCCTGGATGCTGGCCCAGGGACCAAGTGGACCCCTGGGTGGGCTGGCTGGACCACTGATGGCCACTCACTTCTGGCACTCATCCAGCACGAAGGCCCGGGGGTGATCGTCCCCTGACATGGTGATCACAGTCTCCCTCTCGAAAGCCCCCGGGCGGCTCTGGTCCACAGTGTGGCGGGTGATGGTGGAGGTGGTGTAGCTTGTCCAGTACAGCGTGTCCCAGCCGCGATGGTAAGCCAGCCCCTCCACCGAGCCCACATCTGCAGAAGGGGAGGACAGGAAGGTTCACATCTACCCCATGCTCAGCTCACTCCACACAGCCAGTGCTGACTGTGACACCTGGACATGGCTACCTCAGCAGCCTGAAGTTATTGCTTTGAATTACACCCAAAAAAATCCCCAGAGGCTGTGGATCTTGCTAACAACGCACCAATGTGGCAGCACCAGAGGGGACTAAGCAGAGCTTGGCTGGGATCTGTGCTAATGGGGGAGCTGAGACCCCAGGGGACTTCAGAGTCCTCCTGGGCAGACCTCTGATACCAGCCAGGTAATGACACTTCCTTGCAGAAAGGCTGTTATGTTCTCTGATCATCTCCCCTGCACTGGTCAGGCCATACTCTGGGTCCCTCTGTCCCTGCAGCAGTGGCACTGGGAAAGGTCTCCCTCTGCAAGGGAGGCATAAAGTGGCCAGAAGAAGACTCATGCCTAACCAAGGAGACCTTCCCTCCAGCTCCTAGGCCAGGAACTTGAACTGTACACCCATCCTTCCAACCTCATTAACAATCAGCAAAAGGTTTAATGAATGGGCTGTGAGCGACGGGCCCTGCTCTCTTCATCTCAGTGATAACAGCTACCCCAACTGCCAACTGTAAACATGCTCATTAGCGAGCTCATCTATAATCCTTGCTGGAGGTGCTCCCTAGTGATGCAGAGCAATGGACATCGTCTTTTCAACTGCCGTAAAACCCAATAAAATCAACCAAGTGCAAACCGAGGGCTGGAGGTGAAGACAGGGCCAGGCATGGCAAGGTTTACTTAGGCTCAATGGGTCTGTCTTGAAAGTCAAATTCAAACAGAGCAGATCCCAAGTTTGCTGCAGTGCCTTGTTCCTAGAGCAGTGCATACCCACGTGCACGACTGAGCCTCATGATACACTCTCCTTGCCAGAACAAGCTCTGCGGACTGCTCCTGACACTTGCGTCCTCTACCACAGGCTGCTGGGGGGTGATCGTCCCCTGACATGGTGATCACAGTCTCCCTCTCGAAAGCCCCCGGGCGGCTCTGGTCCACAGTGTGGCGGGTGATGGTGGAGGTGGTGTAGCTTGTCCAGTACAGCGTGTCCCAGCCGCGATGGTAAGCCAGCCCCTCCACCGAGCCCACATCTGCAGAAGGGGAGGACAGGAAGGTTCACATCTACCCCATGCTCAGCTCACTCCACACAGCCAGTGCTGACTGTGACACCTGGACATGGCTACCTCAGCAGCCTGAAGTTATTGCTTTGAATTACACCCAAAAAAATCCCCAGAGGCTGTGGATCTTGCTAACAACGCACCAATGTGGCAGCACCAGAGGGGACTAAGCAGAGCTTGGCTGGGATCTGTGCTAATGGGGGAGCTGAGACCCCAGGGGACTTCAGAGTCCTCCTGGGCAGACCTCTGATACCAGCCAGGTAATGACACTTCCTTGCAGAAAGGCTGTTATGTTCTCTGATCATCTCCCCTGCACTGGTCAGGCCATACTCTGGGTCCCTCTGTCCCTGCAGCAGTGGCACTGGGAAAGGTCTCCCTCTGCAAGGGAGGCATAAAGTGGCCAGAAGAAGACTCATGCCTAACCAAGGAGACCTTCCCTCCAGCTCCTAGGCCAGGAACTTGAACTGTACACCCATCCTTCCAACCTCATTAACAATCAGCAAAAGGTTTAATGAATGGGCTGTGAGCGACGGGCCCTGCTCTCTTCATCTCAGTGATAACAGCTACCCCAACTGCCAACTGTAAACATGCTCATTAGCGAGCTCATCTATAATCCTTGCTGGAGGTGCTCCCTAGTGATGCAGAGCAATGGACATCGTCTTTTCAACTGCCGTAAAACCCAATAAAATCAACCAAGTGCAAACCGAGGGCTGGAGGTGAAGACAGGGCCAGGCATGGCAAGGTTTACTTAGGCTCAATGGGTCTGTCTTGAAAGTCAAATTCAAACAGAGCAGATCCCAAGTTTGCTGCAGTGCCTTGTTCCTAGAGCAGTGCATACCCACGTGCACGACTGAGCCTCATGATACACTCTCCTTGCCAGAACAAGCTCTGCGGACTGCTCCTGACACTTGCGTCCTCTACCACAGGCTGCTGACTCTTCCCAGAGGCTCTGGCAGAAAGCTAACAGCTGAACCCTTAGCAGCAGCCACTCAAAACACCTCTCAGAAACACAAAAAAACGTTAACTGAGAAAAGGAACCAAAACCCTTGGGCAAGGAAGAAGGAAGTTCAGGAAGAGGTGGCAGGGGAGAACAGAAAAGAGCAATCTGAGAGCAGAGGCATGAGGAGAGAGCCCTGTGGCACTCACTCTCCACAATGGTCTTGCGCCCTGTGCCGTCATCATTGATCTGTTGGATGTTGCCAAAGTGGATGTCACTGTAGAATATGCGGTTGCTGCCCTTGGAGCCGTAGCGGTAGTCAAAGGCCAGGGCAATGACGTTCTTCATGTGCTCTGCATCCTCAAAGGGCTTGATGGGAGCGTTGAGGTTGTTTTCGTCCGAGAGGTGGATGCTCTTGAGGATGGTGCGCTCCGAATACAGCAGGTAGCCATCGTAGTCACGGCAGCTCACCCCATCCTCGGACAGCATGCCATGGGCACAGGCACAAGTCCTCTGCCCATTGCCCCGGAACAGGCACAGCTGCTGGCAGCCCCCGTTGCTCTGGGCACAGATGTTGGTGCCTGGGGAGGAAAGGGGAGACTGTTCAAGGGACTGGGTAGGCTCTTTGTAGGAGGACGCTCCTGCTCAGCCGCTTTTCATCTCTCCCCACTCCCAAAGGAAGCCGATGAAGAAATGGTCTCAGCCCACAGCACAACACAGTTCTTTGGTGAGGACACAGTGGCCCATTTGTTTCCTTCCCCCTCCCTGCATCTGCCTGCCATGGGAGCTCAGCCCAGGCAGCCGCTGGTGCTCGGCAGCACTGCTCAAGGGGCTGACATCCTGCTCCCGAACCCACCCTTCTGCCTTGCCCGGTTGAAGACTTTGATGTCCTTGAGCTGCACGCCAATCCCTGTGCGCAGGGACACTGACTCGGTGGCATTGTCCTTGTTCCCTCTTTTGATGGAGCCATTCGCATGAGTCCTAAGAAAGGACAGAGTCACTGAGCACCCGATGCAGGGCCCACCCCAGCAGCACCCTGTGGTGGGACCCAGCTCCACCACCACTCTCACAGCACCCGCCAGCTCCCCCCACCCTCCCACACAGCCAGCGCCCAGGGCATTCCCAGACCCCTTGGGCACTGTACCTATCGCTCCAGTAAATGTACTCCTCGAAGACGGACACTGAGAACATGTCCATGTTGTTGCTGGACAGAACAACTTCTCGGTTTTCACCCGTCTCCAGGTCGATGCGTTCAATCTTATCTGTGCGTGCATCACACCAGTAAAGCTTCCCATCCTGAGGAGGTGAGAAAACATCCCAGTCAGCCACAGAGCAGCTCACCAGCAGGGAGCTAAGGCACCCTCCGCACCTCCCAATGTCTGGCAGAAGGTCCCAGGGTCCAGAAGACAACCCTGGACAACCCTCCCTGCAGGGCTCTGGGAAGGGCAACTGTGTCTCCAGATACCCCACCAACAGGGTGACTGCAGGGACCCTTGGGACACGGCAGCACCAACCTCCCAGCCCATGACTTTACCTCATAGTCAACAGATATTCCATTGGGCCAACTGATGCTGACGTTCACGAGCACCATGCGCTCAGTCCCATCCAGGCGTGACCGTTCAATGCGGGGGTACTGCCCCCACTCTGTCCAGAACAGATACCTGCAGGGGACAGCAGGGACGTGACCATAAGACTGGCCAGAAGCAGCATCCTTGGGCCTTCTGGCCATTGGAGCAGAGGACAAGCACCTCCTCCTCATCCCTGCATACCAGGGCCTCAGTCCAGGCCCTGGTGATTTGTCAAGTCTCCCAGCCACCACATGCTTGCAGACTCGCTGCAAAGGAGCACTTCACTGCAGCTGGATCAGCACAGGAATGAGCCCTTGTGCCAGGCACATAGGTGCTGGTCTCCATTCCTCCCTAGACCCAAACAACTCTCCTCTCCCTGTGACTCAGCCAAAGCTGGACCCAGAAGGCTCCAAACAACTCTCCTGTCCCTGTGACTCAGCCAAAGCTGGAGCCAGAAGGCTCCAACTTGGATTTTCTGACAGCTGGAACCCACAAAGTCATGGAGAGCTCCCAGGAAACTCAGCCCATCAGTGAAAGGGTGGTTAAACCCAGCTGGTTTGGACACCAGGAGCCTGTCCCTTGGTGTGGCAAGAGACCTACAAGTCCTCTCCCCTGTGGGCAAACTGCACAGTTCTGCCAGCAGTCTGGGGTATGTGCCCACCCTCAGCTGAGGGACCCTCTGGATGGCTCTGTGCAGTGTCTTACCCTTTCTCTGGATGGACTGTGATGGCCCGCGGCTTGTCCAGCCCCTGTGAGATGACCACATAGCGGAAGGACCCATTCAGCCTGGCCACCTCAATAACATCAAAGCCCTGGTCTGTCCAGTAGATGTTTCCTGCGGAGAGAGGACAATGAACATGAGCCTACCCAGGCCTGCCCGCTCACTCCTCCCTGCTCCGGAGCCCATCTCACCAGCGATCCAGTCCACAGCGATGCCCTCCACGCGGCCAATGCCATTGGTAACCACATCCTCCCGCCACGTCTGATCCCGCTTCGCCCGGCTAATGGTGCTCAGACCCATGTCCACCCAATAAATGGTGTCGTTCTCTGAGTGGGGCCAGGCCAGAGAGCAGGTGTCAGTGACTACCTCTGTGTCACCCTGACCTCTCCAGCCCTGTTGTCCTGTTCCTCACCCCTGCCTCACCTGCATGGAAGTCAATCCCCACGGCCAGGGAAGTCCCTGACACGGGCACAAGAGCATCCGACTTGTCATTGGGGTCCAGGGGAATGCCACGGATCCCCTCATGGACTGAATACAGGAGGAAGGAGCCAACGCCTACAACACATGTGGGGACAATCAGATGCATCCCATAAACAACACGCTGTCCCTTCCATAGACAGCTACAACTCGTGGAAAATTGTGACAGCAGATCCATGGAGGAGCAAAGCCTGGCAGGACTGGTGGGAGGACTCAACAGGAGAACCTTGGGCCCCCAGCCCAGGCAGATGATCCCAGGAAAGCAGAGGGGCAGGCAGGACAGGGTTGAACTGTGCTGGCTGGACCTGCTGGTAGGCTGTGCAGCTGCCCCGAGCATCTCCCCACTGGCAACCCCCATGCCCACAACCTGGCTGACCCTGAGGGTAACACATATGAGATGTGAGCTGGCAGTAGCAGCTCCACAGGCAGCTGGGGAGGTGGTAAGGAAGGCAGCTCCTGCCAGACAACAACGGCCTGATCCTGCCCACAGCAGTGCAGTCAGGGGTGACGCGTCTGCATGGGCAGCATGTGCATGGGACACTTCAAAAGTTTTGCATCACTGTGATTTCTCATGGACAGAGGGATGGCCCTGTTTCGCTTGGGTCCCCCATGTGAGAGTGGACTAACTGGGATGAACACAAGGAGAAAACTCCAGGATCAGGATGAGATGGCTTTCACCGCCACACTGTGCAGGACGAGGAATGGCAAACCTTGTGGAATGATGGCAGGGAACAACCCACTCTAACAACAAGCATGGACATCGTCAGGGATAATGTTTCTGATGGTTGGGGCAGGAACCCAGGGAACAGCCACAAAGCCCTCTGCTTGGATCTGCAAAGGGGCTGTGTTCCAGTGTGTCCTGCCCAGACCTCCCTGGAGGATGCAAGCCCCACAGTAGCCTGTTCAAGGGGTCCTGACACACCAGGGCACAGGGGAAGCATGAGTGAGGTCTCTTTTCAGAGCTGCCTGTGCCCCTGAGTGCTGGCAAAGGCTCTGAGCTGTATCTGGGTCAGGGCAGCACTTGTTATTCAGTCCCTGCCCTGACCCAGATGGTGCAGCAGCTTTGCCAGCCCTCTCCAAAAACACCAAGAACATTTTGCACACAAACAGCCTTTGAGAGGCTCTTGCAGTGACCAGGGAGAGGAGAGGGCTCTTCCCTCCCAAGGAAGATGATGGCAAACTGTGCAGGGACTGGGGACCTGCAGAGCAAACGCTGTGCCGGCTGCCCAGCGTCACTCCTGGTGACTGCAGCAAGTCAGTGACCCAAACCCACTGTAAGCAGTGAGGGTTTCACCACTCCTTTGAGGGTCTGCACTGTGCTGTGCTGCTCTCCTCCTCCCACTGAGCCCAGAGCCCTAGGTGCTGGGACAGTGCCCGTGCTCATCGCTACAAGCCCTTGCAGGACAGCCCACGATTGCTCAGCCACGTGGCCCCGGCAGAGCTGCAGCACACGGCTGGCCGGGGGGGCTGCTCTGAGGGGGGAGCTGGGGAGTGGGGATGGGGGTCAGGCATGCTTACCTTCACAGGACTGCTGCCCACTCTTCAGGCTGTAGCCTGCAGTGCACATGCAGGACCGGGAGGTCTCAGAGGTGGGCAGGCAGAGCTGAGAGCAGTCGCCATTGTTTAGGCTGCAGGGGTTGGTTCCAGCTGCCACAGAGAGAGGGGAGTGAGGGGCAGCAGGGGGCCAGGGCACAGCCCCCGGGCTGCACCAGCCAGCAGGGACCTGGCACAAGGGCAAGGGTCAGGCTTGGGCCAGCAAGAAGGGACAGGGCCAGCCGGCCACCGTGGGCCAGACTCCAGTGCAGGTACTGGCCACCTGGTGGAGCCGAGGAGATGCTGCCCAGCCCTGCAGGGTCTCTGCCCGGGATCAGGCTCTCACCTTGCTGGATGCCTTCATCGTACACCTTCATGTGCATCACAAGCGTCGCGTTGTTGCGCAGCACTGTCACCTCTGTCCCATCCTTTTTGTTGCAGGTGCCCATCCTCTCAGAGGCCTGGTCAGCCCACCACAGCTTGTTGCCTGGAGGAGAAGGCAGGAACATGCACAAGCTTTCCCCATTTCCCTCCCACCCCAGCAGCAAAGAGTGGTGGCACCACAGAGATTTACATGTGGTGGCCTAGAAAAAGGGGTCTGAGCTCAGCCCTTGGTGGAGAAGCATCCCCTCCACAGCTGCTAAAAGTGGGAGCAAGCAGTCTGTGTTTGGGCAGAGCCAGGAAAACAGGAAAGGGCTTCACAATCTGCCCCCATCACCCTGCTGGCTCTCACCCATGATGGCCAGGGCAGTCGCCTTGCTCAGCTGACCCTTCATGGAATTGATCACCTCCAGGTTGCTGCCATCCAGATTGCATCTGTTGATGGTGCCATTGCCAGAGCTGATCCAGTACAGCTTGCTCTCTGGGTAGTCAATGGCCAGGCCTAGAAAGCAAGAGACTGTCAGTGTCCAGGTGGCACAAAGGGATCGTCACTATCTGGGAGGTGGGATGGGACCAGCAGAGTGGATGGGGTGATGGAGAGATGGGCACACAAGGTCAGAGTAGAAAGCAGCTTCCAGCCTGGTGGGGGCTTGAGGCTTTTAGGGCCAGCAAAAGCATCACAGGGTGGGTGATACCCAGGGGCACTGGCAGTCCGTACCAACAGGCCCTTTCTGGTTGGTGAAGAGGAGGGTGCGGTTGCTGCCGTCCATGTTGGCCACACTGATGTTGTCCCCGTCTGTCCAGTAGAGCTTCCTGCAGTGGTACAGGGACATTGAGAAAGGCAGAGCCCCGTAGGGATGGCCCACACACACCTCTGCTGTCCACCCAGGCTCCACCAGCCCCTTACACTCTAGCCTCCTTGCCCTTCTCTGCTGCACAGCTCAGGCAGCCCAACCACCCCCCTGACTTCAGTGCCAGGACCTAGGAGGGAGTTTTGGAGTTTGTAAGCACTCGTGCAGTCCACCCAGACTGGCACACGCGTACGGATGCTCGCTCATCTGCAGCCTGTTCTCCGCCATACACACATGCGTATGCACAAAACAGCTGCTGCTCTGCATGTGCCGCAGACATACACCCCCAAGCCATGGCCCTGGCTCCTCTCAGACCTCCTACACACACTGACACAGAGCGAGCAACCTGTTCCCTCCCCCACCGCATGCGTGCTGTCACATGCACACACACGTGTGCCTGCACACCTGCTCCTCCAACGCTCCTGACCTGGCTCCCAGCCCGCCAGCACCACATCCTGCTGCACACTTACCCCTGGAGTGGGTGAACCACCAGGCAGTGAGGCTTGTCCAGCCCCTGGATCACTGCATTCTTGAAGGAGCCATCCAGCCGGGCCACATTGATCTGCTTCTTGTTGGTGTCGTAACTGGTCCAGAAGAGGTTTCTGGAAACCCAATCCACAGAGAGGCCATGAGCATTGGGCAAGTCTGAAAGGGAATGGAGAAGGGAGATTCATTAGGTGTGAGAACAGGACTGGGATGATGCTCAGATGAAGAGGAAGGGTCAATCTCATGGAGCCAAAGCCTTTGGAGGGCAGGTGGCTCTGCTAGGCTCTGGGACCTGACAGGAGCAGCCGTGTGTGGAGACACACTCCACACCCACCTGCAGAGACAACAGTCTCCACACCGGTGCCATTGATGAAGGCTCTCTTGATGGTCTGCGTGCGGACATCAGACCAGTAAATGCGCTGCTCCAGGGCATCGTAGTCCACCACTGTAACATTGTCAATGTCAGGCACCGTGAAGGAGATGATATAGTTGTAGTAGGGGTTGTCGATGTCCACACCCCGGATCTCCATCTGCCGTGCATACAGCAGGAACTTCTTAAACTCTACAGAGAAGCAGAAGAGGGGCAGTCATGGGATCTCAGCCTGGTCTGCAGAGCTAGTCCTGAAGCACCCGGCCCAAGGCAGACCCCTACCATAGCAGGTCATGTTGTCCTTGTCCAGCTTCATGAGATGGGGGCAGGCACAGGACAATGTGCGGTTATAGTTGATGAGGCAGAGGTGGGAACACGGTCCTTTGCCCCCATTGGCTTCACAGGGATTAGGAGCTGCAAAAGGCATAAGACTCAGTGACGCCCCTGTTCCAGTGGACACCTACCCAGGAGGCCCCAGAGAGCTGCAGACCTCCCAAACCCTGCCTGCCCCATCGAGGAGTGATGACCCATCAGCGTCATCATCCAGAACACTTCTTTTCTTGGTGGCCACGGCCATAATAGAGGCCTCTGGCTCATAAGAGGATGAGAATGGGCAGCCACAGGGGTTGGAGCAGCTCTCAGGCGATGCTCTGAGTGGGGGTGGGTGAACACAGAGTGCCAGTGCCATCCCCCCTACCACACTCCTCCTGCCTCAGTCCCAGCCCCCCGCTGCTCCCCCAGACCTCACCCAGGGGCTGCCGGGAGGGGTGATACACCTGCAGGTCGAATGGCTGCGTGTTGGTCCGTTGCACCACTGTCACATTGTGCCCTGTCCACTTGTTGGCCTTGGCCAGCGTGTTGGTGCGCCAGTCAGTCCAGTACACCTCACCCCCGTACAGGGTGACAGCAAAAGGATGCGACAGGTACTCATGTCCCCGCAGCACCTCGATGTGCCCCGTCCCATCGTACAGGGCTGAGTAGATGGCATCTGACCTGGGCCCAAAAGAGACAAGAGATGAGAGCAGGCAAGTGGCAGGGCAGGAGGCAGCTGGCACAGGTGAAGGCAACATCTTTAACCCAACAACAACCCACAGGGTCTAAGCAACTGTCTCCTCTGCTCTGCTTAATGCTGTGGAGGAGGACAGCTTCTGATTGGCACCAGGGATCAGAGCCCACCCAGAGGAGAAAACCCTGAGCAAAGGCTGGAAGATGCTGCACACACAAATGGACCCCAAGGAGCAGAAGCTCTCACTCCCACCTAGCAAACAGCAGAACAACACAGGAGTGAGAGGGAAGGTGCCAGAGCTGGGTGGGACACGGAGGGCAGGGGTCTAGTGGGGATAGGGAAGTGAGGGGCAGGGACGGGTGTCCTCATCCTACCTGGCATCGATCCAGAGGATGCGCTTCTCCAGGTAGTCAACAGTGAGCCCGTTGGGCCAGCCCCCCGAGCCTGTCTCCTTGTGGATGGTGCGCCGGCCCGCGCCGCTCATGGAGGCGGCCTCAATGCGGGGCAGGCTGGCATCCCAGTCTGTCCAGAAGAGGATCCTGGAGGGACAGCAAGCGGAGACCATCAGCACAGGGACACAGAGCTCTGCGCTCTAACTCAGCAGTGAGGTGTGTGCCTAGACAGGATCCTCTGGCCTGGTCCCCCCACGAGATCCCAAGGGTGCCACTCTGTCCTAGTGACCAATGTTCCCTCCTGCCTTACCCATAGCGGGGGTCCAGGGCTATGGCGCGGGGATGCTCGATATCCCCAGCCAGCAGCGTGGTTCGCATGGTGCCGTCCAGCTTGGCCACCTCGATCTGGTCCAGGTTGCTCTCCACCCAGTAGATGTTGCCAGCAATCCAGTCCACAGCCAGCCCCTCGGGGGTGGCCAGCCCATACTGTATCACCACCTCGAAGCTGGTCAGAGCTACAAGGCACAGCACCAGGAGGGCTCAGTTGCTGCCTTTTCCCCTACTCACCCACCCACTACCACCACACCCCAGTTCTGAACAGCTCCACCCAGCTTGACCAAAGTCAATAGCAGGGGGATGCCCCTTCTCACATGGGGCTTGAACTCCAAAGGGCTCAGCCCCACATCTGTGGCTCCAGTGCTGGGCTCTCACTGCCCTCCTCTGCAGCACTAATGGGGAGGGGACCCGGCTTTGTGCTCCCAGCTGCTAGGCTGCAATTAGCATCAGGGAAGTGCTGGGAATGCTAATTAGCTCCTACATAATGAGCAATGCTGGACAGCAGAACAGGATCACTAGGGGGCCTGCAGGCTCCAGCAGCTCCAGGAGTGCAAGGTGGGAAGAAGCCAGCTGTCCCAGAACTGCACCTCTGCTTTCCCACCCATCTATCCCCCACCAGTCCTCTCCACACCCCCAGGGATACACACCCCCATTCTCGAGCAGCTTTCCCCTGTAGATTTTGTCCTCTACCACATCAGTCCAGTACAGCGAGCTCTGGTTGAGGTGGAAGTCCAAGGCAATGGTGTTGCGTAGCCCAGGGACCAGGACACTGTAGTCACCCCGATGCAGATCAATGCGGCGGATCTCGTGGCGGTTGGAGAATATGATGAATGGCTTGAAGGGGTCTGGGGAAAGCAGGACAGGGTCAGAAGGGCGGCCCACACAATGCAGGAGGAAGGTGTTCCTGGTTCCTTGCCCCAGCTACGGAACCACCCATGCCCCTGCACCCATAAAGGGCTGCTTGTGACAGGTGGGGACAGCAAGGGGTCTGCTCTCAGCAGGCAGACACTCCTCCCCCTCCCCAGACCAGCCCCTGCAGCCCACTCCCACGCACCCAGGCTGCGGCAGCTCTCGCCATCGGAGTCCAGCATCCAGCCCTCGTAGCAGGAGCACTTGACGTTGTACTTGTCCTGCTCGCACTTCTGGCTGCACTTGAGGTGCTTGGCACAGTAACTCTGGATCTGGCAGGTCTTGTTGTCTGAGCCCAGCTCCATCCCCAGGGGACAGGAGCAGATGATGCCCTCACCAGGGGCCACAGTGCACCCGGGGGGCCGGAGCGCGTTGGTGCCCCAGCCCGCCATTGTTCAGGGAGCACTGGTCTGTGGATAGAGGATGCACTCGTCAGGCATGCCACTTCCAGCCAGAGGACCCCATGTCCCAGCATCCAGCTCTGCACTCACCACAGAGCTCGCCCTCATCAGAGCCATCCCCGCAGTCATCAGAGCCATCACAGAGCTTTTCGGGGGGCAGGCAGATGGAGGTGTTGTTGGCACAGGTGTGGGAGGGAGGTTTGCACACCAGTGACTCGCAGTTCTCCTCATCTGAGTTGTCCTCACAGTCGCTATCCCCATCACAGACCCAGGCCTTGCTGATGCAGCGAGCTGCTGACGCAGAGGAGAGGTTATTTCAGGTACTCGGGGTCCCAGCTGCCCTTGAGCTGGTGTCCCTCCTCTGCTGTCCCCTCCCCACAGAGCTGAGGTGGGTCCCAGCCGCTTCCCTGGGGCCGAGGGGGGAAAGAGCAGTGACTGCACCTCCCCTGCTCTCACCTGAATCCTTGCAGCCAAACTTGACATTAGGATCACAGACATGGGTGACCCCCTCGCAGTTCTTCTCATCACTGGAGTCCATGCAATCCGTGTCACCGTCGCAGCGCCAGCGCATGGGGATGCAGAGCCCATCCAGCCGGCACTGGAACTCATCGGTGTGGCAGCCCCCAGGCGGGCGCGTGGCTGGTGGAAGAGTTTGGGGACCTGCTCACTGCCTTTGCCCAGGGAGCTGGGAACTGGGTGGGCTCAGGGGGCAAGAGGAGGAGTGGGCATCCAGCTGAAGGGAAAGGGCTGGGGGCCTGGACACCTGGGGTGGGCAGAGGAAGCTGCATGATTCCCACCCTGGAAGTGCTTGAGCGGGTCTGCCTGAAGGGGGTTTCACCTCTCCAGGCAGGACAGTAGCAAAGCTGATACCTGAGAGGGTCCATCTGCCATTCCCTCCCTCCCAGGGCAGGACCTGGTGTGGGAGGTGTGGTGTGGGAAACACCATGGGAGGACCCCAAGCAGCAGCACAGGGGCAGCCTGGCCCAGCCTCATGGCTCAGGACTCACCCTGGTTGGTGCAGTTGGCATGAGTCTCGTCACTGTAGTCCCCACAGTCGTTGTCCCCATCACAGGTCCAGTGCACGGGGATGCAGCGCCCGCTGTTGCACTTGAACTGGTTGCTGGAGCAGGAGTGGCTGCAGCCTGCCTCGTCGCTGTTGTCCCCACAGTCATTGTCTGGAGAGGGAAGGGAAGCGGGAAGGGGCTCAGAGAGCAGTGCCTGGCTGGGGGGATGACTGGCAGAGGCACAGCAGGAGGACGAAGGCAGAGAGCCCCCCACCAGAGGAGGCGGCTGGGGGAAGCGGGGAACAACAGGGATCAGATAGACCACGCCAGCAGATGGGATGTGGGGCCATGAGCTGTCCCTCGGTGCTGGCAGCAGTACCCCCACCAGAGAGGCTGAGCTGAACAGAGAGCCCCCAGCCCTCCCACCCCTGACACGCTCTCAGGCACAGCTACAGCATCAGCAGCACACAAAGAAAATGAAACACAGAAACTGCATAGATCAGCCATGTACCTGGGGAGGCTGGGAGGGTGCCCAGCACCAAGGGGCTGCTCCGCTCCGCAGGGGGAGCGGAGCTGGGGACACTGCACTCCTTTACAGGGCACATCCCTGGGGAGGTGGGCTGGTACAGCCAATTGGGGAGTGTCAGCTTGCCTGGAGGAAACCCCATTGTCCACCGACAGGCAAGAGAACCTTTAGTCTGACAGAACCATGACACTGGCAATGCAGCCTCTCTGCCTGACCTGCCAGCACAAGGCTTGGGGCTGGCATGCTAGAAACAGAACAGGGCTCTGCTCTACTGCAGACACCCCATCTGAGCTTGGCAAAGGCCTTTGCCTCCTGGTGCCTCTGTCTGCCTCATGCAGGCGAGCTCACAATGGGCACAAGGACAATGGCACTGACAGCTGCCATGTAGATCACCAGCAGCCCAACTTCTGCAGCTGCAGATCCCAGCCTCTCCGTCACAAGCAAGTCCACTTGGAGAGCTGGAAGGGACGGCTGCTTTGCCCCCCAGCATCCAGCACATCACTCCTGATGATGGAGCACAGGGGGCATTGCCAGAGAGCACGAGGGGCTTTGCCAGAGTGTGGGAGCATTGCCAGTGTTTGAAGAAGCAGCCCATGAGGCTCGCAGCACTCTGGAGGGGGCAGGTTTGGGAGTTGCATGGGGCCAGGCTGGGGGACTGGTGCATGTTGATCTATGCACTAACCGGTAGGCTTTGGACAGTTCTTTTCGTCAGAGCCATCCCCACAATCTTTTTCTGAAACACAGAACCAACCAGACAGGAGAGTGGGCACAATGACAAACAACACAACACGGCACATGCACAGAGGGTGGCACAAAAACACACTGACACTGGGACGTGAACAGTGACATGGAGAGGGACACACAGAGGCTGCGCAGGCAACTGAACAGCCCAGGCGGCGAGACAAAAAGCAGTGGCTGGTGCTGGGGGACCAGGGCAGCCAGGCTGGGAGTCCCTCATTGCTGCAGCTCCTGGAGAGGCTCTTGGCTGCTAGGGAGTGCTCCTCACCAAGGCCACTGCTGTCAGAAGTGCCTAGCTGCCATCAGGGTGATAAGAGGTGGGGCTGCCCCAGGGAGAAACGGCCATTCACTCAGGAAGAGCTGAGGAAGAGACCTGCACCCACAGCTCCCTGCTAACCCCTTGCACCAGCTTACACACTCTGCAGCTCTGAGCATGTCTCATCTGCTCTTAGGCCACTAATTAAACCTAACAATGCAGAGCTCCTACGAAGACCGAAATAAACCTGTGGGGAAGGAAAGCAGCCTTGGGGCAAACCCTCTTTTCCAAGCCTGATCCTGGAAACAGATTCAAGACCAGATGAGAGCTCACCAAGAGACTTCTACTGCCTTCCTTGGGGCTACATAACCTGGCTCAGGCCTGCTAGCACGCTGCACAAGGCACTCCACTCATCAAGCACCAGAGCAGAGTTTTGGCCACTTTGCAAAGAATGCCAAAGTGTGCTGAAATGATCCCTGCTAGGCTACTCCTGTAACAAACAGTCCCCCAAGGGCAGCCAAGGAAAATGTGGGTCTCACTGTTGCAGGATGTGCTTACAGCTCCAGCTAATGCCTCCTCATTCAGGGCCTGGGCTCTGCTCTTTAGCACAAGGCTGAGAAGCCTTGAAGGAACAGGGCTCCCTGCCAGGCTGGCACCCCCACGCCAGAACTCACTGCCCCAGCTGTGCCTGCTGTGGGGTCATTGTCCTTACCATTGTCACAGCGCCAGTTGATGTTTATGCAGCGCCCGTTGTTGCAGGTGAACTGTGTCAAGGGGAAGCAGGTCGGGTAGGCTGCAGAGGAGGCAGAGGCACAATCAGTGTGGGGCTTCTGCCAGGCCCCATTGGTGCCTCTGCCCGACAGTGCCCCATTGGTGCCCCTGCCCCCCCTGTGCTCCCCGGGCTCCCTGCCACAGCTCACCACAGGAGGCAGACTCATCGGAGCGGTCCCCGCAGTCATCGTCCAGGTCACATGTCCAGGAGATGGGGATGCAGCGGCCACTGGCACATGAAAACTGGTTGGGGGAGCAGGTCCGTGCTGACCAGGGAGAGACAGACAGAGCGTCAGCAGCTGGCAGTGCCTTGCTCTGCCAGGGCAAAGGCAAGGAACAAGCCCCCTGGGGCTCCTGCGAGGCACAAGAGCCAAACTGGGTGGCAGGCCCCAAAACCTCAGCCTCAGTCCTGCAGCATGCAGGGAACAGTGAAGGCTGTGGCTTGGGACAGCAGTGCAAGCCCCCCTCCCCCTTCTCTGAGGATAAGGCAGGCTCCTCACCTGAGCAGGTAGAGTTGGACTCATCCTCGTTGTTCCCACAGTCATTGTCCCCATCACAGAGCCAGCGGTTGGGGATGCAGCGGTTGTTCTTGCACTTGAAACGATCTGAGGGGCAGGTGTGCTGGTCTGCAGGGAAGACACACACTCAGGATCTGCCCTTCATCCCACCCCTACTCCTCCTCCACATCTGGTGGAAAGAAAAACTGAGACAGAAAAGGTCAGGGAGCCTCAGGCCAAATGGGGCTCCAGGATCCTAATCACCACTTGCCCACTCAACTGCTTGAGCCCACTCCCCTCCTAGAGCTGGACAAGGGACATGGGGTCCTGGCTGCCAAACCCCATTCCAGTTACTGGCCCCACATTTTGGGGAAACTCAGCCCAAATTCTGCTGCCCCAGGAGTGCATAAACCATTATCCCACCACATAGGAGGTGGCTACGCACGGCAGAGCTCAGGGGCTTCATCACTGTTGTCCAGGCAGTCGTTGTCCCCATCACATTTCCAGCGCTCCTGGATGCAGCGGTTGTTCTTGCAGGCGAACTCCCCAGGCTGGCACTGGGGAGGGGGGATGTAGGATGGGTTGGCTGGCAATGGAAAAGCAAAGAGAGGGTATTAACCAAGTGACCAAGTGCAGGGCAGCAGCAAGTACAGTACCGTGCCCTCAGGCTGGCAGGATGTCTACATGACTGCCCAAGAGCCCTGAGAACAGACAGATGCTCACACACACCCATGTGCACCAGCTCCTGAGCATGAAACAAGAAGGTACAGCTCCACATCGAAGGGCAGGGTCCCTGGCTCAGCCTGCATGCACAGGCTGTGCCAGCAGAGCTTCACCCCTCTCATCTAGGCTTGCCAAGCACAGTACTGCCCAGGGTACACCCCGAGCCCAGCTCTCCCCCATGCTGGCAGCAGCACAGTGTCAGACATGGTTGCAGAGCTTCTGCTCAGGGATCCCCACCAGGGGTTTCCACCTTCCTCCCCAGGCAGGCAGCTGTGCTGCTGCCATCATGCAAGAGGTGGGACCAGAGCCAGTAATGTAATTTGTCCGCCAGCTCCTATGGGTCCAGGGTACAACCACTTCCCCAAGCCCCAGGCCAGGCCACCCCCATGAGAGGTATCACTGCTGATGTGCCAGAGCAGAGCCACAGACCCCGTGTACCCACCCATCCCTTGGAGAAAAGGGGTCCCCACTGGGGCCAGGCCCCGAAGCAGCCTACCCTGGCAGGTGACGGAATCTGATCCCAGGATCTGGTCCTCTGCACAGGCACACTGACGGCCCCGGGGGGTGGCCAGGCACAAGCTGCTGCAGCCACCGTTGTTTACACGGCACTTGTTGGAGCCCACTGCAGAGGCAAGACAGGGGTGAGAAGGGAACCCTGCTGACCCAGCACAGGGCATGAGTGGTAGCAGGGTTTACGGAGAGAAAGACAGGGTGCTTGGGGATGGACAGACAGACAGGGCTATGGTCAAAAGGAAGCAAAAAGAGGTGAGGGGCTGCTTAGGCAGGGCACTTCCTCAGCCCCCAGTCCCATCCCTCTTCCAGCCCCCCTGTGTGTGGCAGGTCCCCGTGGTGGCAGGCAGAGGTGGACCCAGCACCTTGCTGCTGCTGTGCGTCGTACATCCGGATCTCGAAGATGGGTGGGCGCTCGTTCCGCAGCAGGCTCACCACCTTGGAGGCCTGGTCCAGCCGGTAGATGCTGCCACTGCGGTACTCAGTCCAGAAGAGGAAGCTGCTATAGTGGCACAGCCCGAAGGCATGATTCAGCTCAGGTCCCTCGTACACAATCTGTGGGCACAGGGAGGCGGAGAGGCTCATTGTTAGCTGGGGCGCGTGCCCAGGGAAACCCCACACAGTGGGACAGGGCAAGGGACACTGGAATGGGAGAGGAGGGGACAGGCAGCAGGGCAGCACGGCTGAACATGGCTCGGTTGCCCACAGTTGCGACTCTGTGACCATCAGTGTACAAGAGCCCGTGGAGCTTCCACTTGCCTTCCGCTCGGTGCCGTTGAGATAGACCATCTCGATGCGGTCATAGAAAGCATCCACCCAGTAGAGGATCTTGGCTGGGATGTCCAGGCTCAGCCCATTGGGCCACAGGACAGTTTTGGAAGTGATGAAGATGTTGCGGTTGGAACCGTCCATCCAGGCTCTCTCAATCTTGCCCCTCTTGCTGTCCTTGGGATCCTCCTCCCAGTCTGTCCAGTACATCCACCTGCCACAGATATAAAGTTATTACAGACAAAAATAAATCGGGCTTGGAGCCCAACCTCACTGCTGATCTGATGAGCAACTAGCTCTACCTCCACCATGACCACTCTGCCTCTGTGTCCTCTCCAGCTGCTGAGTGGCTGACACAAAGCAGCAGGGACACCCTGCTGCCACTACCACAGCTGGAGCTACTGTCTGGCCCCGCTGCCACAGCTCATGAGCCACCATGAACGCTCCAAGATGCAGTGACAGCTACATGGAGCTGGGGACCCAGCCACCAGCTCTGCTGGTCCCAGTCATGACCTTCCAAGAGCCAGCCCCGCCCACCCAGGCGCCCGCACCCGTTCAGGGGGTCCACCACAATTGCTCGGGGGTGGGTCATCTTCCCCTCAATCAGTGTCTTCCGCGTCTGGGCAGCCTTCTCCAGTCGAGCCACACTGATGGTCTTTTTGGGGCCATCATCTGTCCAGTACAGGTTGTTCCCCATCCAGTCTACAGCAATCCCTTCCACGTTGTGGATCCCTTTGGGGAAAAGCAGGGGCAGGCAATCATCACCAGGGCTGCACGGCAGTAGGAAGACAAGAAGTGGAAGCAACAGCTCCATACGATTCACAGAGCACTTGACACCATCTGACCCCAACTCAAACCAACAGGGATGATGGACATCCCAGCCCCAGTGCAGGCCACTTCTCCACAGGTACTGCAGCCACAGGGAGCCTGGGCAGCAAAAAGCCAAATTCAAGAGTGTCCTTGACTGGTTCTCCCCAAGTCAACACAAACATACTTATCTGGCAGCATAGGGATGGCTTGACCACTGCACTGAGCCTCAGGGACCCTGACTGAGGAGCCCTCACCCCTCCTTCTCCCTCCCATTGGACCAGATTTGGTCCAGGGGCAGGTCCCTCTCCTGCCTCTTGTGGGGCATGTGCTCTGTACCTGTCTTGCAGTAGCAATCAACAGCAGCTTCAAACTTTAGTTTTAAGAGTCAAAAATGCAAGAGAGAGGACAGAAGCATCACTACAGGAGGAAATGCACTGATGGCCATTGCTGCTGGCTCCTGGGGGCTGACCGCACTGGGGACCGGCAAGGCTGGGTCCCTTGGCCACGCACCGTCCTTCAGGATGGTCTCTCGCTCCGTGCCATCGATCTTCTGGCGCCCAATGAGGTAGCTGGTGGTGTCAGCAAAGTAGATGAAGCCAGTCTCGGCGTGGAAGTCCAGTGCTCGGGGGTTCATGAGGTTCTCAATGGGGATCATATGCTCATCTGGCACCTTGGCTCCCATATCCATCCCACGGATGATGCCTGGACGGCCCTTTCCATACACCAGGAACAGCTCATGCTCAGGCTCTGCAAAGAGACAGTCACTGCCACTGGCGAGGCCACAGTGGTGATGGGGTGGGCAGCCCTATGAAGGTGACACTGAGGCCTTCACAGGGTCACAGCTATGACACAAAGGCCAGGAGGAGGCAAGAACCTGCCCCAGCATCCAGCAGGTCTGCAGAGACTGCAGAGCCCAGCAGGCAGCCCACAGCTTGGGCCATGAAGGAAAGGGGTGTTTGCACTTGAGAGGGAAGCAATTTAAAAGCTCTCCTTGCCCCTGGGCCCGTGTGCTCAGCTCGTCTGGCACAAGTGCCTCTGCCCACGCCAGTCCCTCACAGAGGAGCGGCCACCAGCCCCCTCACCCCCTCCTGCAGCTCTCCAGGGAGGGCCAGGACTCACTTTTGCAGGACTTTCCATCGCTGCCCAGGCTGAACCCAGAGCGGCAGCGGCAGGTTCGGGTCTTGTGGCTGTTCCCAAGGAGGCAGATGTCTGAGCAGCCTCCCGGCTTGCCAAACTGATCCGGCTCGCAGGCATGGCTCCGCACTGCAACACAGAGCACAGGGTCCAGCAGCTGGAGGAACCAGAGGAGGGCAGCCAGGAAGGGAACACCATTCCACAGCCATGGGGATGCAGAGATGTTCTCCTGGGTGCTGCTGGCCCAACTGCAGCTCTCCAGGCTTTAGGAGAGTCCCTTCCCCCCGGAGCTCCCAGCCAGCCAGGGGCTGAGCATTGCATAGGACAGAGAATGCAGAGATAGGAAATGACCTGCCCAAGGTGAAGGATGCATGCAGAGATGAAACCAGCACAGCGTGGCCCTGCACACCACCACAGCCACTTGCTCATGCTGCCTCCATCCTGCCATGGGCCATGGCAAGAGCTGGGCTGCCCAGCCCCTCCACAGACAGCATGAGCAGGATGAGCCCCAGTGTGGGGACAGCCAGCACCAGCCCAGAGAGCCCCCTTAGTCACACTCCTCCACTGCTCAGAAATTTCCTGAGTAATTTTATATTCTGGAAAATGCCAAGAAGGCTGCAGATACTAAAAGGTACATGAGGTACACTGATTAACTGCAGGAAGGTGCTGGGGGTGGAGCAGGCAGACAGGGATGGATGCAGGGCAGGGACAGTGCCTGTAGCTCCAAAGTGCCTTGGAATCCCTTGGTGCCCAGAAGCATGCAGCCCCAGTTGAGGGGCAAACACATCAGCAGTGAGGACTTAGCATGTGGGCACCACAGGAGGCAGCCATTAATATTTCAAGATGCTGCATCTGCTCCAATGTCCCTGTGCTCTCCAGTGAAATGCGATCGATTAACCATGAGGTGCTGCTGCCCAGCTCACAGGGACGGCTGCCATGTCTCCTGCCACATCTCCCACAGGAGACGGAGTGGCAATGGGGGAAGAGGGAGACTTGGGGCAATTCTGCCTGGCCAGGTCACAGAGCGCTACTGACAGAGGCTCCTGGGCACCTGTCCTGGGTGTTTGGCCCCATTAGGACAGGGAACAGAGAAGATGCAGCCTGTCCCCACCACTTCCCAGCCTTTGGGGTCCAAGGAGCCTATTCCCAGGCTGGGGTCCCACCTGTGGGCTGGCGCCGTTGGTGGTAGATGTGCAGTGCTCCCCCCTTGTCCACTCGTGTCACCACCTGGTACTCGGTGCTGTTGAAGCGGTTGACTCGGATGACACTGGTTTTCTGCTGGGCGTTGGCATTGTCAGAGTTGGTGGCATAGAGGTAGTTCTCAAAGACGGTCAGCCCATAGAGGTGTTCAATCTGGAAGGCACCATGCAGGCATCCACAAGGAATTTAGGAAGAGACAAGAGAGCCCCGGCACGAAGGCATGCATAGCCCCTGATCCCTGCCCTGATTCCACCCCACAACTCTTGCCTCTGTCTCATTTAGGGCACAAGATTGAGCTTGGCAGGCAGGTGCTGCAAGACCAGTTGGTGTTTAGCAGCTAGTGCCTTTTCTTTCCTGGCCCAGCAAAGCCAAGCCTGTCGACCGCTGCCCCCCAACAGGCCAAGCTCAGACATGTGTCCAGCACATTCTGCCATAAGGACCCCTGATCTCCCTCTGGTCCCACTCACCAGGATGCCCTGGATGATGGTATGTCTGTTCTTGCCTTCATAGTCCACCACCTCAATATAGTCCAGGTAGGCATCAGCCCAGTACACCAGTCGGTTCACCAAGTCCAAGGTGATGCCATGGGGGAAGACAATCTTGCTGTCCACCAGCTTGGTGCGGTTCTGCCCGTCCATGTCACAGCGCTCCACCTTGGGGATCTGCCCGTAGTCGGTGAAGAACACTTTGCTGCATGAGAAGGGCAAATGCAGGAGCTCAGAGCCTGGATGTCACATGCAACCCAGAGAAAGGAAGGATGCAGATGTACACACAGTGCACGCTCACTCCTGCAGATACAGGCTTGTCCCTTGTGGGCAGGGGAGTGGCTGGAGTCCACCACAGCAGCTCCCAGCTAGGCTGGCCCATGGGAGCTTCTGGCAAGCTTCATGCTTGCCAGCTATCACTAAGAACAGTTAATTAGAAGACCCAGGTTCAGACCCTAATGCTCCCCAGTGCTGCACTGGCCTGGCTCTGCTCCCACACCAGCGCTTGTCCCTGGTGCAGTGCCAGCTGAACAGAGGCTTGGGCTGCTCTGACCCACCCCCAAGGATCAAACTTTCATCTCTTCCAAAACTGGCTGGTACCAGTGGGCTGCTCAAAATGCTGCTGCCACAGACACCCTACAGCACACGGTCCCAGCCTCAGCTGAGAGAGAAAATGCTGCAACTCATTTGTTGCTAGAACCCAGTGGGGCCTGCGCAGGCAGGTGACTCACTTCTCAAGCAGCATCCGTGCTACCCTGCTGGACTGGACCCCCTGGCTTGCTCCACATCCCCAGATCAATGATGCAGGTCCAGACAGCAACACTGAGCCCTCCCACCCACACACAGGACTCTTACCCCATAGTTGGGTCCAGCGCTATCCCCTTGGGGTTGTACAGCTCCAGGTCCAACAGCGTGACGCAGGTAACTCCATTCTTGTTGCAGACAAAGATCCTGTCATCGATGTCATCCACAAAGTAGAAGTTGCCCGTGAGCCAGTCAATAGCCATCTGTTCCACATCTAGGCCATGGGAGAGGAAGACAAGAAGAGGTTGGGAGGGAGGGAGCCAGGATGCATGCACAGGGTCTTTGACCATGTCCCAGCTGACTAGACATCTCAAGCACAAACACAGCTGAGGAGCAAGGCCGTGACCTGCTGTGATATGCATTGACCCAGGAACCTGGCCCTGGTCCCCCCACATGGACTGACACAGCAACATGTCCTCCCCCCCAAGGAAGATAGGACTGTCCACCCCCCAGGCCAACCCAGCTGCAAGAAGCATCACATGCAGCTAGAAAAACATCCCATGGGAACAGCAGCCAGAGCAGGGGGAGGCTCTACAAGGTGGGCACTGGAGGCAGCAAAGCTGGTTCCTGGAGAGCTGAGAAGCACAGAAGGGGAAGAGGCTCAAACCGCAGCACCAGAACAGCAAACGTCCACCAGGCCCTGCCTGACAGCAGCAGCCCCCAGCTTGGGCAGAGCTAATCCAGCACTGCAGGAGCCTGAGCCCTGAGGCAGGTGAGAGACGGCATCTGGCACGCAGCGTTTAAGTATTTAATTAAACCAGTGAAAGCCTGTTAAATCGGATAAACGCAGTGTACCCGAATTCCTTCTTTGCAACCAGGTCAGTGCTGCTCAGCCACCCCCGCCAGCCCCAGGCCAAAGGCTGGGGCGAGGGTCTGCAGCTCCCAGGAGCTCTGGGACATGCCAAGTGCTCTGGAGGCCTGTCCCTTCTGTCAGTGCCCCCCGAAGACCCCACACCAACCCCAGCACGGTGCCAGCACCATGGCTCAGCTTCACAGCCAGCATGGGCAGAGCAGGGACAGAGCAGCAGCCCCACAGACCAACCACCTTGAGGACATCAGGACCCAGACAGCCCTGGAGGAGCACGGCCAGACACCACTGAATTATTAACCAGTGCAGAAGCTTAGGAGCACAGAGGGAGGGAAAACATGAATCAAGCCAGGACATTTTGCAATGCCCTACACTCCTCCTGCTCACAGGATTTGGCCTGATGATATCAAGCTCTTCCCTGCTGTAGCACCATAAAGTACTGCCGGATTTTGATGAGACCCAACTGATGAGCGCTGAGCAGTTTGGGGTGCCCTGTCAGAGCACAAACCCAAACCCCAATTTCCTGAATTACCCAGGCCAGCTCACTCTCCTCTACTGAGCATTTTGTGTCAAGGCTACGGCCCCGGGGACAGGGACATCCTGCTGGTGGTGATGGCCAGCTGGTGACCAAGTGCTCTCCCCTCCAGATGGGTGAGGCCGCGGCATCCACAGCCACCACCCAGCGTGATGCATCTCGTACAAACACGCGGAAACAGCCAAAGCCAAAGAATTAGCATCAAACCAGCAGAGCCAAAGGCCTGCACAGGCCTCCTGCTGTGCTGCCCAATGTGCCACAGCCAGCAGTGGGGCTAGGTCAAAGCTGGGATTCCTGGTCCAGCCAGGGGCCCTGCACCTCGACTAGCTCCTGGGTGCTGGTGACGGACATTTTCATGTTGAATGAAAACCACCTAAAAAGGTGCATGGGGGTGGTGTGGGGCAGGTGAGGGCCGTGCTCTGCCTCCGAGATGGAGCTGCCTGAGTCACACTGCCTGGGCCAGCACCCGTCCTCCTTCCCCTGCACCCCCAACCCTGATTCATCCCCCCAGAAAGGGGAGGGGGCAGCAGAGCCAGGTGCGGGCAAGAAGCACTGCAGCAAAGGGATGTGAAAGAATTCCCCAAAAAAAGAAGGTCTTGGCTGGATCCTGCTCAGCTGAGTCAGAGTCACAGGATGAAGGGAGTGATCCAAGCCAGGGTGGACAGAAGCGCCCAGCAGAACGGTGTGGAGGCTCTTGCCCCCCACACAGGGGCACAGTGAGGGCCCAGCCATCCTCATCCCAACACTGGCACTCAACCACACCTTGGTCCTCCTGTACTGTCACTGTCCTCCAAAGTCCCCAGTGTCACTGGGCTGACACCACCTCAGCAGCCATGTCCCATTGAGTCGGAGCTGTGTCCAGCCTGTCCAATGGGGAGGATGTTCACCAACTCAACACTCAGAGGCTGAACAGGAATCAGAAGGGAAAATGGCCAAAACAAGCAATAGGTTTCCACCCCACAGTTCACTTCCTGGGGCCCACAGCTTCCCTCTCCCAGTCAGAGGGGAGGGTCCTGGTCCCCCCAGGGGTCTCCCAGCCAGGCCCCAGCTCTGAGCGGGGCAGCGCTGGGCCAGGGAGCTGGGGGTGACGCAAGCACTTGCTCTTCTTCCAGGCTGTATTTTTGCAGCTGGAAAGCATTACCCTCCTCAAAGGCTTTTGTTTTTCAGCTTGCTCCTTCTCTCCCTGCCTGCCACCCTCCCTGCTCCTTCGCAGGAATCAGGTTTTTTTTATTATTAGTAGCATTAATATTTCCAGCTCTCTCTTATAGCCCCAGCTAAAACTGAATTTCCTCTTGAAATTTCAGTGAAAGCTCATTTGGTAAATGTTTATTTTTAACCCCTTGTGTTAGCCTGCAGAGAGCTCTTTCTCCACTCACTACTTGGCTTTGGGAGAAGGGAGGACGTGGCCTTTCCCCCCCAGACTCTGTGCATTCCCCCAGCAGGACAGAGGGTATCCAGGGACAATGTGCAACGGCCACCCGTCTCCACCAAGACCCACGAAAGGACCCAGCTCAGGAGAATCAGCAGGGACCAGCCCGTCTCTGGGCACGGGATGGGTCCTGTGAACAACTTCCACAGAAAGAAGAAGCCAGGAGGCAGCAACCACCCCTCTCCCCAGCAGTGGACGGGGGCTGGGTGGCAAGTCCATCCTCGCCACCAATTCCCATCCCAGAGTCAAGCATTTCTTCTTGCTCAACCATGGCTGGGTGTTGCAAGCAATTGCAACATGCAAGACTAATTTCCCAAGATTTATGTATTTGCTAGTGTTTGAAAATGAGCTTGTGGGAGCAAAGAACAGGGAATGTCAACTTTAAAGGCTCTTCCTGGAAGACGCTAAGCAACCTCATCAGGCCAGTGAGCTGTGGTCCACACCAGGCGACCCCACTCACAGACACTGCCCAGGAACAGCATTAGTTGAAGTGGGCTTTGGCTGCTGAGTTCCTTATGGGGAGGGGGCAGATGAAGGGAGAGGGAGCACCAAGAATTTCATCAGTGCACAAGTGACATGTTGCTCAACAAGGGCGGGCTGGCAACTTCAGCAAATCCTGAAACCCACCCTGCACAGATGTTTCCTGGTTTCACACTCAACACAAACCAAGTGATTTTGACCAGGCTTTTGCTGAAGTCCCTGCTACAAAATAATCTATGTCACACTGTGCTTGAATTTTCTCTTTTCCTTCTCATGGCTACCAGTGGAAGAAGCCAAAGCAGCTTCTGGGGCCAAGAGGCCCTGAGGAGCAATGGCTAGGACCAGATGGCTGGAGGAGAAGGCTTTCACATGCCCCTTCCAGTGCAGACTCCTCCAACAACGTGCTGAGACCTGTCATGGCACTACCAGGGCACACTTGGGGAGAGCAATTGCCCCAAGAGGCAGCAGAAACTTCTAGCCTCCACCCAAGAAGTTCTTGACTCCATCAATTCTTAAAAGTATTCCCAAGCATGCTCTGCAATAAACTTCCCCCTTCTCAATTCCAATTTTATCTTGTGCTTGACACAGCTGGGAGCATCTTATCCCACTCAAAGAACTTCTTGACCCAAGTGGGTCACCAACTCAGCAACTGTCCACCAGAGCTCCTGCCAGAGGTTTCCCTCCCTTAACCCAAGCCACAGAGCATCTGATTTACCCCACGACCAGTCAAGCACCGCAAGGCTGTGGGTTTTTTGGGGAACGAGGTTTGCTGACCCAGCACATAACTTTCCTCTGCATGAATCAGTTGTTGTGCAGTCTGCAAAGACATCAATTGTGGCCTGACACAAGGAGGAAGGAAATGCGCAATCTTCTCTCAGACTAAAACATGGATTTCAACACAGTTCTGGAACAGCTGCAATTAAGATGCGTGCAACTCAGCAGCACACCCTGACTCTTGCACAGTTAAGCATGGAAGATGATAAACCACCAATAGTAGTGAAGGTTCAAAGAGCTTGGAAATAAATGCTCTGTGCTGCAGCAATCTGGAAGAAATCCCACTTCTCAATTACTCCTAAAGGGAGCTCTCCCGATCAAGTGTCTGGAGCAAGGCAGGACAGGGATATTGATCACGAGAGGTCCCAGCTCTGCTTTGGAGACTCCCCTTTGAAGAAGCTAAAGACATCACCACTTCCAATGCCCAGCACAGAGGTCCACCACCAAAGGTCCCTGCCCCCTCACCTGCTGAAGTGCATTTTCACCCTTCCCCAGCACATGGGATAGATAAAAGAGCTTGACCGAGCTCTGCTGCCAACATTTGCATGTTGTTTTTAAATACAGATAAGGGCATCTACTAAGAACAACCCACATTTTTGCTTCAGCTATGGTGGATCAGACCAAACACGAGTCCCAGCAGTAAACAACTCTTTATGGAATCTGGGCTGCAGTGGCTATGGAAATGCACTCAGACAACTGTGCAGGCAATGGCCCAAGCAAACAACACACCGAACTGCTTGTCTGAGCTGCATCAGAAGCAGAGAAGCCACCTGGAGAGCAACCTCTGTGCTGCATCCTCCTGAGCACGTGAGCCAGAGCCCAAGAGGCAAGGGGGGTCGTGTCCCATTCCCCACCCAGGCAGCAGTTGCACCGCCCACGGCACCAGGCACCGGGAGAACCAAAAACACAAGGCTCCTGCAGAAAAAAAGCTTGGAAAAGTTACCGAATGTTTCGGTTCAAAAACGCCTCCAGAAGAGGAACAGAGGCTCGTCAGGAATGCAGTCCCTGGGGCTTCTCAAATACATTGGTTTCCTACTTTCCTTTTTATAGGGAATGATCCGTTTGATACATTTACATAATACCATAATCTGGAGGAATTTCTGTCTCTTCCCTCTACAGACATCCTCTCCCCCGGAGAACAAGACTGTCTCTGTAACGGCAACATACTCCATGGATAAACACTGCTCC